CAATTTTTATACGTGTGCATGCACAACAAATTTCTTGTTGGAGGGGTCTAAATACAGCATAAACAACATTTTCCAAAAGACCAAAAAAGTGAAAAAGTATATTTAAAGAAAATGCATTTGACTAAAATGTTGAACAACAAATGTTCTTAAACCCTGCTGACTGCCATTGACGATTGCCAAGTAAACGGATCACCGATGTAATAAATGGATCTTAATTATAAATTTAATACTAAAAGAAAACAATAATCTTGCGGAAAAGATGATATACCGCAAACAAAAGGTGCAAAGGTTTTTGTACACCATATCCGGATTTCTGTGTTATATTAATATATATATGTAAAAACAATTCAGAGACAACTGCCTGTGCAAGAGATATAGATAGCAAATACAGAAGTCTTAAAACCGGTGTAGTTTTCACTACACATCTAAGCATGTTTTTCATAGATTTGAATAAGTATTTATTTTAATCAATAATTTGCCTTATTCATTTCCGTTTTGAACGCCACATGAACGGTGTCTTTAAGTCTGTTTAAGTCTCTGTTTTACAAGGAAAACACTTTTATTTGTTCAAAACCCAACGAATACGATCACGCAACGCTGTATTATTGGAGAATAATACGTGGTATCACTATTCAGCAATAGCTTACTGTACATTTGATTTTATTATCTCCTATTTCAATTTTTTTTTCAATAAGGACCCAATAAGGCTTTACCGATACCAAATTTTAGGAAGTTCTTATTTGTAGTTCATGAGAATAAACGATTGAAATTTCATACATGGACATTTTGTATCAGAATATGTACATGTATATAAGCATATGTTTTTTTTAATTAGATTTGACCTTCTGATGATCATTTTTAAGAATTATGTGATTAGGGAGATAATATCTCTTTTTTATAGTGTGCATGAATCGTTTTGATATCAAGGAACTTATATGCATAAATACCGGTAACTAACCGAAATATATATACAGTCAAAACAGTGTTCAATGCAGATTTACAGGCAAAATTACCTTTTTTCTTATAAATGCCTCAGTACCTTGTACACGAAATCTGCAACACCGTACGATACATTACATTTCGAGGTAAATTCAACTCTAAAACCATAAAGTTTTGACTGGGAAGCTAACAATAGGTTTCATACTAAAATATAAATTCATTTCTAGAAATATAAAACCTCAGTGGGCCCCAAAAAATGAATGCCATGAAAAAAAAGAAAAACAACCATAAGACAAAGAACAATACACAAAACACAGTATAGACAAATAAAACCGAGCAACACGAACCCCATCGAATACCGGGGGTGATCTCAAGTGTTACTAAAGGGTAAGCAGATTCTGCTCTGAATGTGGCACCCGTCGTGTTGCAAAGTATGTGACCATGAAATCTGAGGAAAATTGTTTTCAACAACACTTTGGACATCTTCTTTTATGTGAGGGATATTGATAATTGGTCGGTACATTCCATGCCGTATAGGATTCCCAAAATTAAAATTCTATGCTTTTATTTACCTCGATTTTTTTTTCTTCCGTTCGAATCCGCCATCCCGTGTCATAAATAGTTAACGGGCGCAGATATTTTAACGAAGAATTCAAAACTACTCATGGACATTTTATATTTTTCTGCAGCTATCTTAAAATCTATTTTTATAAAAAAAAGAATAAAATTCTATATTTGAAAAATTCAACGCTGCCAAAATGCGAAACCAAAGTCCTAACTGTGTATTGCTAACTTATACCAATTAGCTAAAATGTTCTCCGACATAGCCAGCACTCTGCATGTTGAATTTACGCGGTTTTATCTAATTGTTAAATAAATATGATGATTTATTTTTTCCGTGCGTGCAACACGTATAAAGTTTGTTTCTCTAATTCTAAAACGATTTGTATTTTTTTCCCAAATCGATTGATTTTTTTTTTTTTGATAATCACTCAACGTTTGGCAGTTTTAACTCAGGTCGTCATTGGTCATTATTCAATTACGACGTCAATTTTTCTTGATTTTCTATGAATTTTCTATTTTGACGTATAAACCAAAAAATCGACCATGATGACTGACGACGTCACATAGAAAGCACACATCTTTTTCCAGATCGTTGGCAAAGATAATCTAAAAGTTTGTCTACATATCAATATCGTCTTCATCATTGAAGGTTGATTCCATCAACGAATCCATGCAAAATGATAGTTCTTCTCTCTCTAAAGATACATTGTATGTATTAAAAATGCTCGGCAAGCCTCGCTTTTTAAATTTGGTTAAATTTGCTCGAGTGGAGAAGCATTTTGCAGTGGTCGATTCTATAAATATATAACGTTATCAACCATAGACGACATTGACCAGAAAATAAAGACTACCTAAAACATCATTTTGGAGACTTATATTGAAGACTTGATCACTTTGATAGGCCACTAGTCTAAATACCACATGCTAAGATTGTCGATAAGATAAATTCGTTACAAAGTGTGCTAGTGACCTAATACGGTCAACGATCGATCGAACCCCATATGGAATTTAGGTCACTAGCACACTGTGTAACTAATAATATTATAATAACACTAGCACGGTATAACTTGCATGATACTGACTATTTATACATACCAATTACATTACCTAAGAAGGCAAAGTGTACGTAAATTGGGTGATATTTCGGATTTGATATAATCTATTATGAATTTGGAACTGCATCTGAAGATCTAAAATTCACAAATAAAATAGCTTTTTAACTTTTTTTCTCAAGTATTACGTGTTCTTTTTTAGAATTTTTGTCTTCTTTTTTTTTACTACAACAGTTTTGCAAATACCTTATTTTTGCTTCTAATTTCTAAATTAGAGAAAATATGCATTCGTTTCATATTTGTTGAATTTGGAGGTAGACTTTTTCAGCAAGTTGTCGGCATTCCTATGGGAACGAACCTCTCCTTGCCGATCTCTTCTTATTTTCATATGAGTCAGAGTTCCTTCAGACATTTGTCAAAAACAAGAAAATCAAAGAAGCCCGATCATTTAATTTCACATTCAGATATATTGTTGATGTTCTTTCCATTAGACCTTATACCTCGAATTTGACGTAAGCGGTCATCTCAATACCAGAATCTATGAAAAGCGAGACGATTTAAGTTTTGAAATTATAAATTTTCCTCACCTTAGCAGCAATATACCAACTTCACCTGCATATGGGATATACATTTCCCAACTCATCTGTATTCAAGAGCTTGCAGCAGCTACTCACACTTTATAAAACGTCACCAGTGTCTGAGCAGATAGTTGATGAGCCAAGGTTATGTCAATGAACGTCTTGTCCTTTTTCTAAAAAAAGTTCATTGGAAGATACCAAGACCTTGTTGATAAATATTCCTTATCAACTTAACAAATAATAAAATGATGGTCTTGAAGTATAGACTCTAGGTTCTGACGCTGTTTATCATCTTAATAACGTGTTAAAATTTCCCTTTTTTGTGCTTGTATATTTTCAATCTTTACTGTTTAGTCCATTTTTGATTATACTCATGACGTGGCTCAGTACTTATACATCCCGCCATTGCATTATTGTGCTATGGTTACAATTTTGAATTCTTGTCTTTCATTTTTGCTTAATGCTGTTTTGTGTTTCTTTGTTGGAACAGTGATTTGTTTTTATACTGATTAAGATTATATTACAATGTTGACAGCTGTACCCCCATTTTTGACGTATTTACCTATTATGTCTGTTTATTTTGCTCACACATTGTTGTCAATATAATGGAATTCTATGCTACTGTCATACTTAAGTGAGAGGTTTAGCTATAAAATCAGGTTGAATCCACCATTTTCTACATAAGGAAATGCCTGTACCAAGTCAGGAATATGACAGTTGTTTTTCATTCGTTAAATGTGTTTGGGCTTTTGATTTCGCCATTTATAAAGGAATTTTCGTTTTGAATTTCCCTTGGAGTTCGGTATTTTTGTTATTTTACTTTTCACTTGAAATTACGAATTTTCGAAAGTACGTCCAACGAATTGTTATCTGAAATGAGATGTTATTGCTGTAAATAGTTCCGTTGCAATTATTTGAATATAAAAGAGGGTAACCGGTTTCATTTTTTTTTCAATAGAAATCAATTAATCTCGATATGTAGCGTGCAAAAATGGTCAAAACGACAATGAACGATATTTTTCAAGTTTATTCACACTTCACTCGTACCTAATTGATTTAAACAGGAAAACGAATGTGGTGACACCCTAATAACAACTTAACTTTATAACGGAAATGTTTACGAATTTTTTAGAAATCGCAATTTCATATTTTTCGTACGTCACACATATATTCTATACAATACATTTATATTAAATTACACTCTTTAATTGATGGTATCGCTATTTGTAATTGTTCAGATGCATTTCAATGAGTTCTGAATGCATGAAAAAGAATTTAATCAAAATCCAAAATATCGGAAAATAACGTATACTTAATTATGATGTATATACTTACCTCGCATGTGTGTGTGTGTGTGTGTGTATTTTTTGGGTTTTTTTTGGTGATTGGTGAAGGTCGTTAAAGAGAAGAGGAGACGCCAGAGGGACATTCAAACTCACAAGTCGAAAACAAACTGACAACGCAATGGCTAAAAAAGAAAAAGAAAAAGACCAATAGACAAACAATAGTACACAAAACACAACATAGAAAACTAAAGACTGAGCAACACGAACCCAAAATCTGGGGGTGATCTCAGGTGCTCCGGAAGGGTAAGCAGATTGTTAAATGCCTGTTATAATGTGTCCATTGGTCCATTGATAGTTGTCGCACTGGCATGCATCCATACAAAACCTCCTCATTTTATTTTTGCATTTGTAAGATTGATTGAGTATTTTTATACATGTATATGCCTCAATAAATATAAACAGTATACTGAGTTAAAGCTGTCAGTATCTACGTAAACGGAAACTTAGGTGACACTTACGAACCTTGATACCAAAGGGACAAATTTTACGCAAATATTTCGCATTATTTATTTTCATTTCAGATCGTAGAGGCAGAGATAGACTGGTAAAGTTTCTGTTTTCCTCAGATTTGGTTTGTTGTGGTTTGATCTTTACAGATATTCATTTTGATGAATTTATTTTGCTGTTGCTATTTTTTTCTATTTATCACTTTGTTCTAGCATATTACCTGCCAAGAAATTTAGCCAAATTAATATCATCAGTTACAATTTTATGTGTAACAATTATAATTTTCCCAAGCATTTTAATTATAGTCATTTTACCAATAGAATTATGTTTCGTTTATTCTATCTCAGTATATTTCGTTCTCGTCTCAAGTTATGAAGCAGTAACTGCATTGATTCTTCTATATTATCTTATTATAATCAAAAATAGATTTCAAATTAGGAACTATTCTAGATTACTCTATTGGACTATTTCTGTTCTTCCATTTTGTTTTTGCTTTCTATATTACCTGTGGCCGCATATTTCAACGTTTGTAATGATAAACCTTAAAGCTGTTATTGCCATTCCAACTGTTATTATCGGTTTGATAATTTGTATCTACTATACGTAGAAGTTTTACTTTTATACTTAAGGGCCAACAATATGCGTAATAAATGTATCTACTAGTTTTCGTGAAGATAAATGTTTGCATATATATTTTAGTTCGTAGAAAAAAATTTGGGGATGACTTTTTGAAATACTAGACATTGTCCTCATACTGGCTAGCATCAATAGCCAGTTATCAAATTGTGATGGGGATGCATACATCCTTTTAAGTTATGTTGAATTGCATCTTTGATAGGCTAACCAGGTGACATAATATATAGGACGTATAACTCATAAACCAAGGTTCGCGGTCACTAGCTTTTACTGTTTACGTAAAATCATTTTAAAAAGATTATAATTGTCTTCAATCACACAACTTGGTGCAATTAGAACAGATAGCCGCCAAAAATAACACCATGGCGTACAATTTTTTTCATTTCAGTGACTTTGGGCTAGTTATTCGTTAATTCCAAGTTCTTAGATACTAAGTGCTTGCATATGAATTAATGTTAGGATGCATCTTATCATATAAAAAGTTACTATCAAAATAAGGTGATCGTGGCCTTCATTGTCTGCTTCTTGACTTTTGTAAAGTCTAAGTTCTAGTTTAGTTTTACCTTACTAATGAATCTTGAATCAATGAGCTAGATACAAGAAGCACAGTGAAATAGGTTCAAATGAATCATAGGCCACTCTAACGTGTATTTGATGCATTGCCTGCTTTAGTTATGTTAGCATTATCAGCTCGTTTGTATCAGATTTTGAGTTTTTGAATATTTTGGGCTAGAACATAACTCAAAAGACATAAATTTTTGTAAGTCTTATCTGGTGCAGTAAAATAAATATCTTTAATGTTATTCGATACCTTGATATATGCTGGTGATTTGATAGTCATCAACCAAGTAGCAAGTACTTTGGTACTGGCATGAACATTCAAATATTGTAAATTGTAATTCGCTTTTTAAACATTTTGAAAAAAATAATTTTCTATCAAATGATGTATCTACCTAATGCATACCTCTGAAATCTAGTTTGGCTAGACGTTAAGAACTTTTTGATTTAAAAATAAGAAGGTACGAAAATATTTTAAAATATCTCCAAATATGACTTCTTTATAATATTCCCTTATTTGTAATGTAATTAAATGTGTGTTAAAACAGTAGCCCGTTGATTTTTCTTTCTTTTAGTACAACATATAGCTTTATATCTCAGCAGATTACAAAGATGCAACATTTGTATTTTCGACCTTCAACAATGAGCAAAACCCATAACGCAAAGTAAGCTACAAAAGGCTCCAAAATGAAAAATGTAAAACAATTCAAACGAGAAAACTAACGGCCTGATTTAAGAACAAAACGATATAAAATTAAAAACCAATTGTTCAGAGAACAATTGAAGGTCTTTCTACATCAATTTTCTAAATTATTGATGAGAAGCTACTTCCGGTTAACTCAAAGGTACTATTGGCGTCCAAGCATATGTTTCTTCATATTGATTCAATAAATAAATGTTTCTATATATTTTTGCCTCAAATAAGGGAGATGATTGTCAACATCCGGTTAAAAAATGTCACATCCGTTCTCACATGATAGCTATATTCACACTGATTCCAAAAATATATGGTTTCTATATACCTTTGCCTGAAATAAGGGAGTAATTAGATACTTCCGGTTCATGGAAGATCACTTCCGGTCTCAAATGATAGGTTTATGTATACGTATTTAAAAATATATATAGTTTCAAGATACTTTTTCATGAAATAAGTGCAAAAATGGCTACTTCCGGTTTACTCAAGGTCTCTTCCGGTTTACATTTTTCAAGGTCATAAGTCACCCAACATTTTGCAAAAAGACTCTATCATGGTTTCATCATGTAACAAGTTGGAGTAATAATCAATTAACCTTAAATTTAATCATTTCAGGAATAATAACTCCTATAAGATGTCATTGGATTGTTTCAGACCAAATGTATCATACATATATTCATCACAATGAGGCAAACATTTTGCACTAGTTCTTTTATATATATCTTTAAAAGTGACAAAGGAGATCATAAAACAAGGAAAAGTCCAAATTTAGACTATGACCTTGACCTCTGACCTTGACCTCAATTTCATTTTAATGAACCAAAGACCCAAAATACATATACCTTAGGTCTCTATCACTTACCATTCATGCCATACATTAATGTATCACTTATGTCAAATACAGAAGGGGAAATAACTCTCATATGGAGTCTTCGTATCGCTTCCGTCAAAATTGAACAAAAAAATCCTGAGGATATAGCGAGGGGAAGAAGAAAAAATAATAATAATCAGAACAAAACCAATAGGTCTTTCCACAGAAAAGTGGAAAGACCTTATAACTGTGATTTCGTGAATTTCAATGTATTTTAACGAAAAAACAAGGTCCGTAACTCCCAGTTTTTACATTGAAATTTGAAAGAACATTGACCCAGAAGTCATAAGTTTTAAAAAAATCTATCGTCGAACATTTAGACACCCTAGCTACCTTGACACTGTGATATTTGATAATGGAACTTTTCTTGTAATGCATTTTAACGCTCCGTTTATTAGCGTATAAATAACAGATGATGAATATTATACATGTATGTTTTATTGCCGTGTGTGTTTTTGAAGTGTTATCGTGAGAGTTAAGTACTTTTGTCTGATAATGTGATTTTGTCATGATGTTATCTGAATTAAATTGTTTTTGTTGTTCTCAAGATAGACTAAATTTGCGTCATGGTGAAGCTTAAAATTGAGAATGGAAATGGGGAATGTGTCAAAGAGACAACAACCCGACCACAGAACAGACAACAGCAGAAGGCCACCAACAGGTCTTCAATGCAGCGAGAAATTCCCGCACCCGGAGGCGTCCTTCAGCTGGCCCCTAAACAAATATATATACTAGTTCAGTGATAATGAACGTCATACTAAACTCCAAATTGTACACAAGAAACTAAAATTAAAAATAATACAAGACTAACAAAGGCTAGAGGCTCCTGACTTGGGACAGGCGCAAAAATGCGGCGGGGTTAAACATGTTTATGAGATCTCAACCCTCCCCCTATACCTATGTATCTCCCCATGTTCGAAATACAGAGTTGTTTCAAACTATTACATATCCGATATTTAATTTAAATCCAGTCGAAATTAAGTCGGTTAGCACCGTGCACCGACCAGCAGACAGGAAAGAAGAAACAGATTACATGCACTTATTATTGTTCATGGAACAACCTTCATAAAGCATGCTCAGTATTGAAATACAATTTTAATTTGAAAAGAAGAAAATGTGGTATGATTGACAATGAGAAAACTATCCACCGTGGATATATGCAGTAATAAAATTGAGAATGGAAACAAGGAATGTGTCAAAGAGACAACAACCCAACCAAAGAGCAGAAAACAGCGCAATGCTACCAATGGATCTTCAACACAGTGAGAAAATCCCGCAACCGGAGGCGGGCTGCGGGCTACATATGTTCAAGGTAATAAACTAAGAACATATAAGTTATTTAAATATGATTATTGTACTGAACCTTACTTAAAATGTTAATTGCCATCTAAATCTTTAGGAGTGCTTTTTCAAAATTTAAATGTAGAGTTGCTCCCCTTAGAATAGAAACCGGCATATACGAAAGAAAAGAAATGCATGACGCAGGTTTCTTCAAAAGTGATGATTTTCTAAAAATTATTTGACATTTCACAGTGATATCATACTTTAACTTTGTTTAAACCTGTTTATTTACTTTTGACTTTAATTATTTATCCCTTGTAATTTTTTTATTAACTGTGTATTTGCATTCAGGTGTCACAGGTCAAATTTATTCGTTCATTGTGTGTTTATTTACGTTTTTTGATTGAGTTAAGCCTTCCAATTGATATTTTATAGTTTGTTTTTCTATGTTGTGATGTTATACTATTGTTTCAGAAAAGGGAGAAGGTTTGGTACCATTAAAACGTTTAATTCCGCTGCAAATGTTTGCACCTGTCCTAAGTCAGGAATCTGATTACAGAAGTTGTCGTCTGTTTGTGTGGTTCATACGTGTTTTTCGTTTCTCGTATTTATATAGATTAGACCGTTGGTGTTTCCGTTTGAATGGTTTTATACTAGTATAATTTCTTTATAGCTTGCTGTTCGGTGTGAGCCAATGCTCCGTGTTGAAGGCCGTACCTTGACCTATAATGGTTTACTTTTATAAATTGTAATTTGGATGGAGAGTTGTCTCATTGGCACTCATACCACATTTTCCTATATTTATGAATGAACATGTTTTTAATATTAGTATTGAAGATGAACTGCATGTTTTATTGAAATGTCCACTATACGAAGATCTTAGAAACATATTGTTTTATGAAGCTGCAAAATTTAATAATTTTAAAATGTAGATTTTTTACGTTTTATCAGATAATTATATATTTTGAATATTATATAGAACAGTTATTGCGCTTTTTAAACTTATCTCGTTAAGGCGAAGACTTTTTTTATTGTAAGAGTTATCTCCCCAAACACTAATTTTCTTGTGAGTGTATCTCCTCCGTAACAAAAAGAGATAACGAAAAAATTCTTTTTCATATTTGTTTGTTACATTCTCAGAAATTTTTGGCTGATTTGGATCCGGTGAATCATAAACCGTAAGCCGTATAAACCTATAGTCTTTATATTTGAGGTCATTGGGGCCTAACTTAGAAATGAGGTCAAGGTCAAAGGTCAAGGTCATATTCTGAATTTTGTCTTTTGCTTGTTTTTGCATTTTCTTTGATAGTTTTAACGTTATATATAAAAGAACTAGTGCAAAATGTTTGTTTTATTGTGATGAAGATATGATACATTTAGTCTGAAACAATCGAGTGACATCTTATGGAGTTATTGCCCATGAAATGTTTTATTTTTAAGGTAAATTGATTATTACTTCAGATTGGTACATGCTAAATCAATAAGGTCTCTTAGAAAATGTTTAGTGACATGTGACCTTGAAAAATATCTACCGAAAGTGACCTTGAGTGAACCGGAAGTAGTCATGTTTTCACTTATTTTATGGAAAAATACCTAGAAACCATATATTTTTCAAATGGGCATACATAACCTATCATTCCAGACTGGAAGTGACATTTTATTAACCGGAAGTAGCATATTATCTCCCTTTTTACAGGCATAAGTATATACAAACTATATATTTTGGGAATCAGTGTGAATAAAGCTATCATATGAGACCGGAAGTGACATTTTCCAATCCGGAAGTAGCAAATTATCTCTCTTTTTACAGGCAAAAGTATATACAAACCATATATTTTTGGAATCAGTGTAATAAAGCTATCATATTAGACTGGAAGTGACATTTTCTAAACCGGAAGTTGGCACTTATCTCCCTCATTTCAGGTAAAAGCATATAGAACCATATATTTATTGAATCAGTATGAATAAACCTATGATTGGACGCCAATAGTAACTTTGAGTAAACAAGAAGTAGCTTCTTATCAATTATTTAGAAAATTGATGTGGAAAGACCTTCAATTGTTCTTTGAACAATTAGTTTTTAATTAAAAATTGATTTTTCTTATTCAATAAAGCTAAAGTTTTTGAAAGTGCGGCCAGAACCTGCTATAACATTTCAATCATAAGAAATGTTTTTTATATCATTAATTATGCTATATTTTAATGATTTTCTTAAACAAATATATATTAGATACGATATGTACATTATCAAACTGTATTTAAATATTGCTTTACAGTCTCTCATAAATCTTTTAAAGGGGCACTAGCTACGAGATATGAAAAAACATTAAATATGATTTTTTTGTTCAATCATTAATAAAAGTGAAATAGTGAAATAATAATTCGCTTTTTTCAGCTCATTTGGTTCAATTTTGTCAAAATAAGCTAAGAAACATCGCTTTCAGATGACTACTAATCAATTACTTGTCGTCCTATGTGGGCCTATGTGGAAGATTGGTGTAAGTAGTTTATCTAGAGTACCACTAGCCTGTCAATACACTGAGGTTGAAAGGTGGAACCCCCCACCTCCCCCATGACACGTGGTAGGTGCGTTCGACTAGGTCTGCCAGTTTCCCTACCAAATGTATATGGTTCTCTCCGGGTCTTCGGTCTCCTCCACATATAAAAACTGTCCGCCACGATATAGCCAACAGTGCTGAAAATG